GGCTATGAGTCTGGTGTTAGTAACCATTTCGATTTTACTATCAGCAGAGAATCCCTACTCGATCCAGATGACATCGTGATGGGAGATATGATCGGAAAAGGAAGCAACTCTGAAGTCTACAGAGGATCGTATATATGTTTCCTTTCTCTCTCAATAAGATTTTTATTTTATTTTTGAATTTTCGTTCTTGTTTATGATGTAAATGCGTTTAGTTAATTAGTGCATTCTTTTCTTTTCTTTTTTTACGTTATAATTTAGAGTGCTGCTAAAACATTTAGGGCTCAGCATCAGCGTATGAATCTTAAGATCTTTTTGCTGATAGAAAATGAACTGCACTAGGATAGTTGTTTAAATCTTTTAAAATTTGATTATTACAATTATTTGCTTTAGGGGTTTCCAAAACAAACGGAGGTTTCATTATTTATCAAAATTCCATATTCATGTTTTTATCCTGTAATGTTCAAAGAGCTGTAAACTTTTTATTGAAGCAGTAGCTAATTAAGTGAAGTATTGGTCTAGTGTCACAATATTTGTCAAATGTATTCAGTTAGTTAGATCTACTTCGCAGGTTTGTGTAAGTTTCGGTATGGTATGTTACTAGAAACGATGAATGGGAAACTCTTTACCTGTCGCATAAGAATGAAACATTCTTGCTAATCACTGTTTTTGTTTAGCATCTTACCTCAAACATTTGAACATTCTTGGTAGTTTAATATACTCTCTCTCTCTCTCTCTCTAATGATTTGTAGATACCAAACCCTGGTTCCTGTGGCCGTGAAGGTAATGCAGCCGAGTAGAACATCTGCTGTGAGCATACAGCACAAGGAAAAGTTTCAAAAAGAAGTTATGTATCTATCCAGGATCAAACATGATAGCATTGTGAAGGTAAAATAAATATACATTTTGATTTTTCAATATTGTGTTATAATAATGAGAAATCATGCTTTTTTACTGAATTTACAGTTTATTGGAGCTTGCATAGAGCCACAACTGATGATAGTTACAGAACTCCTTGAAGGCGGCACTCTTCAGAATTTATTGTGGAGATTTCGTCCAAACACTCTTGATCTGGGGATGTCACTAAGCTATGCTCTGGATATCTCTAGAGCCATGGAGTTTTTGCACTCCAAAGGCCTCATTCACCGTGATCTAAATCCAAGTAATATGGTCCATTATTAACATATTATGTATTGTAAAGATACAAATTGATTAGTTTTCTCTCACTATTGTGTAGAGAATGTGCTGGTAACAAGGGATATGGCACATGTGAAGTTGGCTGATTTTGGACTTGTAAGAGAAGAGACAACAGGGGCGGATATGACTATTGAGGCTGGCACTTACAGATGGATGGCTCCTGAGGTGAAATATTTGAGCTCAATCTTAGACACAGTGTCTTATAGAAACACATACATATATATATATATATATATATATATATATATATATAAACCACAGGTTTCATGTTTTTGTATATCCACAGGTATGTGGCCGTGATTCTAGAATTGGGGATAGATTGCACTATGATCACAAAGCTGATGTTTACAGCTTTGCTATAGTTTTGTGGGAGTTGATTACTAACAAACAACCATTCCCTGGAATGCCTCCAGTCATTGTGCCTTATCATGTCATCGAGGTAAAAAATCACAAAATAATTGTTTCTCTTAAAAAAATTGGAAGAGATTTTTTTTGTAAAATGATGGATCTTCTTTTTTACAGAAGAACATGAGGCCAAGTCTTACGGGCATTCCAGGTGAACTTGTCGGCCTTATCGAATCTTGTTGGGCAGCGGATCCAAACGCACGTCCTGAGTTTAAGGAGATTACTATCACTTTGACAAACTTGCTGAGGGCCGTGTGCATAGACAGTACTTATGAATCCATTGAGGAATCTGCTTCAAGGGTGAACCCGAACAGCAGTATTGCGCAGACTGTAATAAATGATCCAATAGCAAACGAGGAAGATGACCATGATGATACAGATGCGGCTCCAATAACCAATCTGACTCAAGGGAGTAACTGTCAGGAGATGGAACCTAAGAAAAAGAAAGGGAATAAGAGTAAGAAAGTGATGAAACTCATGGTATCGCCTCTCTTCAAAATGTTCAGGGCTTGTTTGTACAAGCCATGACCTACTTCTTTTTTTTGTTTTCCATAAATGGGGAAAAGAGGGGTTTGAGCTTATTTCATGACAAAGCACCATAGGAAGTTGGTTGATGAAACAAGACAAAACTGAAGATTGTGTCAGTGTATCTCTGTTATTTTTATTTATTTGCGTATTGTCTTCTTTTGTTGTTTAAGCTTTCTGCTGTTGTTATTAAAAATAAAATAAAATGATGCATTGCCGTTCTTCTTTTCAAAAGAATTTCAACTATTTTTACATAAATATATCGAGAAGCTCAAGTAAATTTAATATTTTAAATTCGAACAATAATAGTAATCTAATCTTTCATGGTTCACGAATAACTGTTGATTTAGGGTAATGCTGATTAGGATATATTTCATTTTCGTGTCTATAAAACATTAACTAGATTTTGATTTATGCTTACAATTTGATTGATTATTTCTATAATTTTTTGCATAAAATTATTTGTTTTCACATTCTATTATGATATTATAGTATTATTATTTTCCGGTCGACCACGTTATTTTTATCAATAACATATGCAGAGATTAGGATGGCATTTGTCGCAAATCCTTCAAAATTATATAAATTTTGGGGTCACTAGTTTGAAACAAATCTAAAGTATACTTTTAGATAGAATCAAGTTAATGATTAGTTTTCAATTAAAACACAACAAAATTGTTACTATTATTTTCTCTTATAGTCACAAACATTCCAATCAAAAGTTTAATATTCTCTCTGTTTTTAAATAAATGTTATTTTGATACATTTTTTCTTATTGCACAAAAAGTTTCACTTTAGAATTTCAATGTAATTTTAAACTAAATATTAATTACAAATACATTGATTTTATTAATAATTTTAGTTCTTAAAAATTTTATTGGTTGAATATGTGTAATTAATAAGAATATAACGCATTCCAAAAAAAAATTATGATACTCTTTATGAAATAGATGTTGTATTATTTTTTTTGCCGTAATTCCAACTATTTTTCTTAAACAATTCATTTTCTGTCTAACATGACATTATTTAATATAAAAGCTAGATGTCGCATATTCAAATTCTATTAGTAACAATTTACTCTTCCAAACAAAAAGTTACATAAATTAAACCGTCACGAATTTATAATTATTAGTGATTTTTTTTTTAATTTACAGAATTTAAAGTGATTAGAAACTTTTAATTTACATAATTTGTTATAAAACATGTATCATGAGCTTTCAACCCATTTAAAAGTAACATACCAATCAAAACCTTTGAGAAAAAAGAGTATAATTGCATGCAGTGGGCCAAATAATATACAGTTAAATTCAGTAGCATATGTTAGTGTTGTGCTGTCATAGTGTATCATATTAATATATTGTCATTATGGACCAGCAAAACGATTGACACAGCAGAAGAAAAAAACTAAAAACTGCAAAGTAATATAAATTTAAACCTTCTCTCCAAAAAAGGAAGTTTTCGTTCGTGTACTCAACACACACTAAGCTATGATGATGATGTTCTTATGTCATAATGTCATGATATCATCACACACGAAGTTCGACTGTACTTATGATGATGTTCTTCTACCAATGTCATGCCCTGAAAACTCTCCCGCCCCAAATGTCGCAGCCACATCGATGCTCCCTCTTGGTCCAACTAGAGCGGGTCCAGGACCACCACCGTTACCAACCGCTCTACCTAAGCCGAGAAAGTCTAACGTTGTTTGTTTCGGACCAAACACGGAAGAATTTCCCATCATGAGCTCTTTCAAACCCGAGCTGCTTTCACCGCCACAAGGCAGTCCCAACGCTAGACCATGAGGGACTAATGTGTCCACAGAAGGTGAAGTTGATGAAACTATGCCTAACCCGCGAAGCAATGAACCACCTGAAGAAGCTGCTCCCATTTGAGCTGCTTTTTGAAGCAGAGCGGTAGCTGACATTGCCGGCTGAGCTGAAAACCCTGCTGAGCAGAGAAAAGATGATCCGTGACTCGTTGAGAGACCCAAAGAGATTGGTTCAATGGATGAAGATGGAGCGAATAGACTCCGTGAAGAAGAAGAAGAAGATGATGATGCGTATATACTTGGAGAAGCTGATGAAGATTCGAAGTAGACACCGTTTAAACCTGTTGGTTCTTTAGCTGCTTGCAAGATTTGACGAGGGGTTTTTGGAGAATCTGCAAGGGAAACCGTATAAAAGTTTGTGACTACTTTTATATAGTATAATATAAAAACAAAAATGCAAGAGTAACCAAAAAAAAAAAAACATAACTTTTGATTTCTTTATCATAAAGAATCAATCAAACTATATCTAACACCAAATCTAACCAAACGAGTTATGTTCTTAATCAGGTAACAGAAATAAAAAATAATAATACGACGTTACGGACAAAGAACATACTAAACTCCAAGATCACCTGGTCGCTTAATGGTTATAGCCGAAGGAGATATGATTTTAGTAGACTGAGTTTCCACCGGATTAGACCCGGTTATAGATTTCGGGTCAGGAACAGGTTTCTTCCGGGTCAAAATATCAGGATTCTGCTTCTTACTATGAGTATGATTTCTCGAACTTTCTTGAGCCAAAGCATCACAGAAAGCTCTATGCGTCATAAAGCTATCTCTCCTACACAACATAACAACTAATAAGAGATTATAGCTTTTAAAGAGAGATCAGATTAGTAGTTTACCTAGAAAACAGAGTACCACAATCGCATTTATACTCTTTGGTACCACAAATCTTAGAATGAGCTTTCCAATCAGACACAACAGCGTACTTCTTGGAGCATTTGTCGCATTTCCACTTCTTCTCGCCGTGTTTCCGACAAAAGTGTTTCTTGATTCCGGTTAAATCTCCTAAAGCGCGTGAAGGGTCGTGATGAACACAGCTTGTTTCGGGACAGACGTAAACCTTTTTCTTGACTTCTTGGCTAGATTTCTGTCTGAGTTTCCAAGGTAAGTTGTGACCACGACGGTGAAGCTGAAGGTTCTGGTCTCTCTGGAAGCCTTTGTTGCAGATTTCGCAGACGAATCTGTTTGTTGCTAGTAATGTCTTTGGTGACAAAGCTATCACTTCTGAGTCTGGATCTGTAAATAAACAAAATCAGCAACAAAAAAAAAAAATTGTAATTTTTTACAATAAAGTTTGGATTTTTTTGATTTGTAATTAAATAAAGTTTGGATTTTTTTGATTTGTAATTAAATAAAGTTTGGATTTTTAATTTGTAATAAAATAAAGTTTGGATTTGGAAGTTACCGGGCATGCCAGGGAGGTTTCGTTTCTTCTTAGCGGCGGAGTTGGGAAGTGGGTTTTGGTGGTTTCCGGTGGAGGAGACACTTGCGTCGCCGGAGACTGTGGAGGAGTTGTCTAAATCTACCGGCATCTTCACTAAAAATTAAACCTCTTTTTTTCTCTCTCTATCTCTTAATTTTGATTGTTGAAGTAAATAACAAAGGGGGAAAGATAAATAAAGTAAAAAGGGGAGAAATAAATGAAGATTTCGTCAACCAAGTTTCAACCTTTAGGGTTTATCTTTACTCTCTCTTCTCCTCCGTTGTTCTTCAGCTACCAGTCAATCTGCTTTTCGTTAAAAAAAAAAAAAGAAACTCTCTTTGTCGCTACCTACCTTTTCTGATAACGATTAAAATGAAAAATTTAAAACTTTCATTTAATAGCTAGAAAACTCCTCCAGTGAAAACGGCTGACTTCCAAGATCCTACGGCTGAGATTTCACCGGTAATAGAAACGCCGCCAAGTCTTTTTTTTCTGGAGGCAGAGAAGGAAGAAGGCGGCTTGTGTGATTTCGTGTGAAAGAAAGCTTCGACCTTTTGGTTTCTTTCGAGACAAAGGAGCCTTTCTTCTTCTCTCTCTATCAGACACAGCACAATTATTAGTTTTATTTTTCTCTTTTATCGATTTTCAACTTTTCAACACTTTGGATATATTTTAAAATTATGAGATTTTTGAAAATAGTAATTTGTTTTGTGCCATCTGAAAAGAAAATTTTTGTCGATCTTTGTAGGGTTCGAGTGTTGTCAAGTATCTATCTTCTTTCTGGACTCCCCATGCATTATTTAATATATATATATATATATATATGCCTTGTTCGTAATATCAATCTCATTGTCTTTCTGACTTCTTGTCCCTGATAATTTTATCCACCACTCATTTAAATTTGAATTTAGGAGAAAGAAACCTAAAGAAGCGACTAGATAAAGAAGTTTTGTGTCAATGATTTCTTTATTGCATAGTTTCTTGTGGTTGGTTCTTAGATCATCTTATCCCTAAAACCCTTTTGGATTTCTTAAGTTTATTTTCCTTTTTTTATTAAAAAAAAATTAAAAACAAACCAATCACGAATTGTCACGTGTTAGTGGAATTCACAACCAGTGCAAGAAACCTTTAAGAATCAGTTCTTCGTTCATAATTTTTGTAACTGATTTTTATATTGTTCATGGGATCCATATAATAAAAATTTCCTAAGAAACCCACAAAAAAACCCTAATAATCATGTTCTTAATACACATATATATATATATATATATATATATATTATGTACATATATAATTGTAGGTTAAGGACTTTACGGAAAACGAAACAGATCCACAATTATATACACATATACAATATATATATACACATATATGTGTATTAAGAATCGACCACAAGAAACTATGCAATAATATTGTCTTTATGTCCCATATACTTTGTCCGTTGAAAAATATCACTTCATATTTTCTACAGACTAAAAATAACTAAACTACAATTATATTATCATTAATTATATTTATTGATTAATAGTATTTGAAAGAAAACAAAATTATTTATACAATTACTGTAACTTTAGTGTAAGTATAAATTATATTTTTATCAAAATGTTTGTAATAAAATAGGAGATTATACTTTTTGTAAAACAGAAAAAGTAGTGTTTCAAAAAAATATCAATTATTTTTATTCATATCACAAATTCAACAAATCTGTGGTTATCAAATAGAAAATATAATTTAACGGTCATGTGCTCTTGTGTCATCATCGAAGTTCAATTTTTTATTTAGAAAGTATAGTAGTATTAATTTGAAATATTAAATATTATCTTCCTGATTTACTAATTATTTAGTACTTAAGTGATTGAGTTGTTTCTTTTTTTTTTTGTCAATAGATTGATTGCGTTGTTTCTATATTGCAATAATATGATGAAAAATGAAGTTGAAAGATTCACTGCCTTTGCCTTTAGAGAGGACAGTGTAGGCGTTACCGTCCCGTTGCTGGTCCCAAACACCTCCGGTGGAAAAAGTAGTTTCCATATTTGTCGATAAACGACAAATAAAGAAGATAAACTATTACGGCAATTTTGAAATTACAGTTGATTTTGTCGTTTAGGTATATGACCAAAGTTTTCAGTGTTCTGATTATCATAATAACTATTAGTCCATTACACATTTAATGGGTCTATAGCGTTATTTGTTGACTTATGACCTATTAGTATATCTACTTGCTCCATTGTTACGTGATTGTTATTTACAAGTTTCGTTAAGTATTTGAGGTGTTAAGATGTTGCCACGTGTATGTTTCATTTCATCAGAGTACGATATATTTCGAACCAAGATAACAACTTTTGAACAATAGTTAATTATCATCTTTTGTCATAAAACAATAAAATACTATATATTGGTTATATTTTCCAGTTTTGAATTTGATAAAAAGAAAAAGGCTAAGGAAACTTTTTAAAGCAAATATCCATCAAAAATTAGTGTCTGACTTTACAAATTTACTCGAGTTTTAAACTAAAAGCATTATTTTAGGCGTGACAAGGTCCCTCAAGATTTCAGAAATACTATCTAGCCAACTTTGAGATCCATTTACTACAAATAAAAAGCTTCAGGCCCCATCTAGTAAAACAATTAAAAGGACATCCAAGAGTTTACTCTTTTCTTTTCTCTAGATAGAGTAACTAACTATATAACAGAATTAAGAGAATTTGCACTCTATATACAAACTAAACCCCTAAATTAACTATCTATCCTCTTTCTCTCTTATATTTTCTCCCCTCCCTCACTATTTTTTTCCACTAAAGCCATGGCAAATCTCTAATATTGAGTTTCTTTTGGTATATTAAGCAAATTTGCTCTAGAATTAATTGTTATTACGATAATACTCTATTTTACAATAAAAATAGAGTGATAGCAAAAAATAAATAAAATATTCTATATATGATGAACTTATTTGCACTCTATTATAAAGTAGAGAATAGAGTATAACTGAAACATAGTTTACATTAAACTCGAACTTAGAATAAAAAATAAAGTAGGATTGGAGATGTTTTTATTGAGTTTTATTAGAATACTAGATATGAATCTGTGCATTACACAAATTTTAATTTGATAGTTTAATTTCACAAAAGCATGAAATGAAAGAAAAATATTTTTTGTTGTAGTTTTATAACTTTTTGTATATTATGTGTGAAATTTATTTTAGAAATCAAAATTTGTTTCTACATAAGTTCATATAATTTATATTTTAATAAATATGATACCATGCAAGTCGCCTTTGTCTAGCTTTATATAAAAAATATAGACTTGAACATCTTAACCAAACCTAATCTAAAACATAAAATCAGAATAAAAGACAAAAATAATTAGAAAATTTAATCAATCCAATAGAATCAATAACAATACTCTACATTTTTATATGCTTTAATGTTTGTATTAATTCAAAATGTTATTCTTCTTGTTCAAACATATATTAGGGTTTAGTTTCTTTTAATTTTCGAAATTGTATATAGTTTAGATTCTTCTAGTCAAAAATATATGTGTATAATGAAGACCATGTTTTAAATTTTAATTGTAGGAATAAGAAAACATAATTATTAGTTAAAAATTTGCGGTAGTTAATCTTAAAATAGATTTTAGTACCTTTTGTAATAGGGATGAAAAACATACCATCTTGAAGGCCACTAAGAAATTCTCGTAATTTCATTTTAAATATATATTATTTAAAATCATATATATCATTTGAAAGTTTTTTTTAAGTTTTTTTTTTTTTTATAAAAGCATTCAGTTTTATCTACTTTAAAATTGCAGTCATAGTAATTATTTTTTCAAGAAGAGAATGATGCATATTACCCTAAAATGTATATATACATTTATAAAAATAAATTATTTTTAAATATAAAAATATATATCATTCTTCTAAAATAAAATTAATTAAAGAAATTAACAATCACATTCGGTGCAAATTGCAGATTATTACTATATATCTATTTAAGTATAATGGTTTCCTACTCTTATGTATTATGAATGCGTCTACGGACTAAGCTTATATAATATAGTAGGTACAGACCCGTGTGTTTCACGAATTCAATTGATGTTTTAGATTTATGAAAAACATAAAAATGAGAAAGATATTTTGCAATTGTTGGATTTTTTGCATATATTACGTGTAACTTATCTTATGAATAAAAAATATTTTTCCACATAAATTTTGGTGGGTATTTATATTTCAAGAATATTTTTTTTGTTGGCTATCTTTCAGTAATCATAGTGCAAAAACAATTATTAGCAATTTTAAATTTAGAATATAGAAAAAATCTAAACCCAAAAATTTAAATTAAATCCAACCTTGGAAAAATATGATTTAGAATAAAATATAATATAATAAATTAGAAAGTTGAATTAAGGTAATCAAATCGGTGACAATATACGCATTTTATAGAATTTCTCTATCTTAAAAGAAAATATAGTGAATAAATAACATCTCTATATTTAGAGACAAAATATGATTACTCCATATTTCTATGAAAATCAAAATCTCTATTGCAAAATCATACAATTAAGTAAATCTACCTTTATAATACAACTTCACTGTTTCAAAAGAAAATATACTAATGAATCTATAGGTGAATTGAAAATTATCTTATTTGTTTAACTAAGGGAAAATATTGGATCAACATTTTTATCATCTAATCTATAGGTAATAAAACAATTAATACATTATGCATTTCAATACTACTGTAATTCTTGTAGCCACAAACATGTATGTTGTGAAGACCATGTATTTTGATTCCTTATTGTCTAAATAAGTATTTATGAATATAACTTATTAATGTTTTATAGCGACCAAAGCTATAACAAATAATAAATTGTATTAGTGTATATTGTAATAGAGTTGAAATCACGATCATTAAGAAGTTATTATAACTTCATTTCTAATATATAAATTTCAATATAGATATATATTGGATTCTCATTTTTCTTTATAATCTTTTCACTCTAGATTCATATTTACAGTAATAACATTTTCAAGAAAAAGAAATATGTATCTAACCTAAATTATACTTTTTTGCATACAAAAAAATTAGTAACATAATTATAAATCTATATATA